GCGCGGTTCGGCCGCAGACAATGAGGGCGGCGCCCGGTGCCCCGGGCTGCGCTGCCCTCGGCAGCGCTACGAGCAGCGCCCCTTTTTGTTCTTTGACGGTGTAATTTGTCTCCAAAACCCCATTTTTCACACTAAAGCAGCGGCGCGAGGCAGTAAAACATTCATGGTGCTTTATTTCTGTCGGTCGGGCACGGGGTCTCATGGCACACATCTGCAGGAGAGCCCCAGCAGCAGCAGAACATGCACCTCTCAGCTGACTCTCGTTTCTTCTCCGGAAGGGGAGTCCGGCCACTCTCGAAACCTTAGKGATAGTCAAAAGCAAGCTAAAAGCWTATTGCTGTTCTTTAAAATAGTTGCAGGGGTGACAGGTGGCTTTTTGGTGGAAAAAGAAATAAAAATGGCACCGAACCTTGCCTACGTGCAGCCTCATGGGCCGGGWGGCAGGTTGCAGCAGCCTGGGCCTAGAAGAAGGGACAGGCAGCACCTCTGAGAGCAGCCTGGGATTCAGGGAAAGCCAAGACATGTGGATCTTCACACAAGGGCTTGGTTTTGCTCTAATGAAGAGCTCCTTGTACTCTATAATGGTGYCAAGGCTCCCTTTCTCCAGGTGGATGGCAGGTTTTTAAAGCAAACAGCACTAAACTGTGTGAAGAGCCTCAGCTGACACCTTGGCTTAGGCAGTTCCAGTCCACCACCTCCTTTAAGGATGCCCTTTCCCATGGGTGCCTTCCCTCCTAATGCTCTGTAAGGCAACCAGTGACTTTACCGACAGTCGTGGTCACTGTGGGGCCAGCCACACAGATCGGCAGACCCAAGGGCTCCTGTAATGGCAATTTGTTATACAATGACACAGCTGAGTGGGTCACACGTGAGCATTTATTTATTAGAGTTGCATCCTCAAGGTTAAACAACTGCTACAGGAAAATGCAGTGCCGAAGAGATACAGTGCAAAATATATGATGGACCAAGCCTTTTCCCCACAAGGCCACACACCAATGAGGAACTCTGGAATCAGTGAAAAAAACCTGTTATTTCTGCAGATTGTCTTCTCCAAGTGTATCTGTAACGATGTACCCTCTGTTCCGGCATTTTAAGCAATTCCCTTTTGACCGTGACATAAGGCAGCTGGTGACAGCTTCTATACCCGTCCTTCCCTGCCACAGGTACAGGCAGGAAACACAKACCAAGGCTTACAGGAATGAGCAGCAGTTTGGGGAGATTCAACACGAGATGCTGGTGAGCCTCTTCTGCTCAAAAACATCTCAACTTGAGAACTTAAAAAGCGTAGGCAGCCAAAAGCAGTAGTCATTTCTGAAATTGTGGCTTTGTAATTAYTGCCATGGGCTTCTCCGACGAGCTTTCATACGTGGCTTCACAGCAGCAGTTGGTCCCTGACTATATTMAGCATGCTCAAAACAGAGCTGCCCCTTTTGACACAGACCTGGCTTTCAAGTTTCCACCTAAAAAAGCCGTCCAGTGGTAAAGCAGTTACTCATTTCAAATGGAGTTCCCCTCATGGAGTGCTTCTAAGGTCATGCCTGTAATTCGGTTAAATAACTGGTACAGTGGCCTAAAAAAAGCTAAGCAGCACTGTGCTGTAAAAACACTAACTTGCTAAGCTTTTGCATGCATGCCAGCTTCCATCACTAAGAGCAGAAAGAATTCTCTGGCTAACAATAGTCTGCATTAGAGCTTTCGCCATCACCCATTTCCAAGGAAGAGCTAATAACAGAACTGACGTGGGTGCTTTGCACGTATTTCTAATCTTTCAGAGAGAAAACAGTAACTTTCTGGACACATTCAGAGCTGTATTTTTAAAGCGGAGAGACTGACTTCCTAGGTTTCAGTGTTCACTCAGCAGTGCAGCATTCAGCCTCTCAGCAGCTTAACTAAGGGTTAAAATTATGACATTCTGACTTTCAGTATGTAAAGCACTAGCTAGAAGTTCAATCTGGGGAGTTGGCATTTGTGATGTAAATAACCTGCAGCAATTAAAGAGGCATTACAGCAAGGCTTGCTGAGGTCAGGGAAAAACCAGATTCAGCTGAGCAGCATTTCATGTCAGGAGCCAATTGAGATACCGGTTTTCTGGCACATTTTTTTGGCCATTGGACACTTCCCATCAGAGGCCAAGTTAGACTATCAGGTGAAAGARTTATCTTCCCAAACAGGCAGCACACATGAATGCTGCTGCAGGAAGCCACCAGGGAGCAGGCAGAAAAGAGAAATTAAAGCTGACACACAATTAAAGTGATTCTGCATGTGCTGCTGAAAAGCCATGGAAAAGCAAATGGAAATTGGGCAGAAGCTATTTCTAGACAGGAAATTGGGCAGAAGCTATTTCTAGACAGGATTTTGGGGTGAAAAAAAAAATCAGAAATAAGCTTTTGCTAGGAGCTAGACTCAAACCTTCCTTGGGATCCAAATTTAGTGTTTAACACCTTTCAGATATGCCTGCTTTGTGCCAGCTGACAGGCACTAAGCTGCAGCCTGATTACAAAAGTGAAAGAACAAATCAAAAAAGATTTCTTGCAATTAGCTTAGACCTAAGGAGCTTCTACCTGATTTCCAACCCAGGGAGCACTAGAGAATCTTAATGAAGGTAAAGACAGGTGGAGAAGCTCAGCACCTTTGGAAAAATCAGCCCACTTATCTTTTGTAGTCAACACTGCCTTATCTTGTTAACATTGACGCTTGTCTTGCATACAGCTGACAGCATAAACTAGTGGATGTTAAACTCATTCATTGTGATGAGGCAGCAAGAGAGAAAATAACTCGAGCAAGGGGGAAACAGGAACATTGCTATCTTAGCCAGTCAGACTGCTAGATACGTTCTGATATGTGCTGCCGAGGACTTTCCACTGGCTGCCGTCTCAGCTTTGCAAAACCCTGCAAGCAAATAAGAGAAGGTGAACACAGGATGTGGGTACCACACAAAAAATGGTATTGCAGAGGTCAGTGAAGCAGATGAATACGCAGGAATGGGATGAAAAGGGCCAGCTAGTCACATTGCATTGTGTGACAAACACAGCAGCCATGTATGGAATGGGGCAGCTACCTCTTTCCTACCCTTTCTCTGCTCTTTCACAAGGCAGAGAGAGGGATGCAGGCACCTTTTTTACAAGCTCACAGTGATGGCAGGGTTTCCAGTGGATGCTGTGGTGACTCCTATCCCCACAGGATTATCAAACTCAGAAAAAAAATCCAGTCTCCTTCCTTGATCTGTCAGCAAAGTGTGCAGTCCTTCAGTTTTCCYGGTGATCTTCATCTCAAAGGATTTTTACACAAAGCAGCAACTTCACCTGCCACTAACACAATTCCTTCTCACTGGASGAAAGTTAACACTGTCACACTGCAGTGGGTTTGCCCAGGAAGCGAGGGGGAATCTGCTTCCTAGGAGGACCCAAGAGGACTCTCAGTCTCTAGCAGATGCTTTTCTGCTCCTCTCCCCAAAGCAAAGCTAATGCAGCCTGTTTATCACATCATGCCCAGATGCCCTCTCTATAACTGGGCTCCCTGGGATGACATATAGTGTGATTCTAGTTATTTCTGTGACAAGGCTCATTGTTTCCCACGAAAAACCCACGGGAAAATCCCCACATGGGTCACCTGGTGAGTATCAGGGTTAAATGCTCATCATTAAGCTCTCTGTGAGCTCTTTTCCAGCCATTTATGCTGATCTGCACAGGGGCACTCACCTAGAAGAGCTTCTCATAGCACTTGTCACAGTGGACAATGTCCCGGTGGATGAATATTTTATCCAGAAGGTCTCCCATTGCTTTGTGGCAAATTCCACACTGCCAAAGGAAAAAGACAAGATGGTTGGACAGCAAACAAAGTACCACGTGATGATATCAGTATGAAGAGGGCAGAGAAATGAATAGTCTCTGTATCATTTTAAAGGTGGTGGAGATGCCAAATGAGTGGCTTTCAAGACAAAACACTTCTACAATGGAGACCAATGTCACCAGGGTGGCTTCCACCCATACCCAACATTTGCACTTCTGAACTTTCCGAAGCTTGAGAGATCCAGCAAGACATGTACTGGGAGACTGATGCCACAAAGCAACCTGTCTACCCCAAAGACAAGGACATGAGGAAAGAGGATGTCCTCCAGTGAGGAGGCAGCACGTCAGCAGCAGGTGAAGTTACTGCTTTATTTAAGAACCCTTTCAGATTAAAGAAAAAGTGAGGAAAACTGAAGAGCTATATGCTCTGAGAGAACAGCAGTTCTATCAGAGAATTCTGTTTGCTCTAAGATGCATTTATTTGAGAAGCTGAAAAACTTCTGGGACACAATCAAGACCTGTGACTGCATGATCTTTGTCCCACTGTGGATGCAAGCTTCTGGTGCAAACTATGTGCAAAATTTACACTACTCTAATAGTGTGTGGACAGAATTTCTACTAAGACCCCAAGACCTCCCATGTCCCATTTCCTAGCAACATGTCACTGGTGGTCAGCAGTAAGGTTTTTTACCCTGAAACAGTATTCGTGGCAGCAGATGTTAAGGTGCTCTACGATGATCTTGGGGCAATCGTGGATCTCACGGCCACAGTAACTGCAAACAGCCTCACGGGACCTGCGAAGGAGCAGAACAGTGAACTCCTGCCCTGTGGTGCCTCTGTAACACAAACAGGCTCCAGTCCCATCAGTTTCCCACATATATTGCAGCTCAAAGGCACAGAGCACAAGAGCAGATCAGCACAGAGCATTCATGCAGTGTCACTGTATTTTCAAAAGACCATGTGAACTTCCTGCTGTGATTTTCACCAAGCACACACCAGCATTATAAAAAAATGAAATGTTAACATAGCGTCTGTGCAAATCTGCTGATATGGCCATGCAGCCCTAAACTGACCTACCTCATCAGGGGAGAGCTGGACAGGTAGCTCTGGTGGCTGGTGGTTGCTCTGTCCAAATTGCTCAAATCGACAAGGCTGCCACTGGAAAAGGAAGGAAATATCAGCACTTAACATTGATACAGGGGAAGAGCATTGTATATGGAAATATTCATTGTTAGGTTATCATTAGGACAACCTAAAGTCCTAACTGGGTCACAGTGTTTCTGGGGCTGAGAAAACAGGAGCTTTGCCCTGACACAGGGCTCCTTGGAGTCTGATGGAGGTGGCAGGACGTGCAGCAGCCCTGCCCTGCAGCCTCTCCTCCCTCGTGCCATGCAGTGCTGGTGACAGCTCACAGGTATCTCCACTGCACACGCTCCATTCTCCACATGCTTCCACCCACTTACCTTTTGCTACTATCAAAGTCCTCTGAGAGGCTGGTTCACTCATTAACATGGCAGAAAAGAGGAGACCAGCCTGGCTGAGAGTASGGAAGGAAAGATGGGGAGCAGGAGAAGAGCAGGGGAAAGGCTCCCCTGCCAGTGAGAGCCACCACTGCCTTGTCCAGGCTGCCACGGGCTCCTCATACCTGCCATAGCGTGGGGAGGACGATAACTCGCTGCTGTTCACATACTCCTTCACAAAGAGGATCCCCTTTCTAGGCAGAGACAGAAGCAGGACAAGAAGCATTTGCATTAGAAAAGACTGAAACTAATGAGGGACAGCACCAGGGACTGCRTGTGGGTGTTTGGACGCAGAACGTGTGCATGAAAAGGCATAGAGCAAGATCCTGTTATTCCTAAATAAATACCAGATTTCAAGCACTGATGCTAAATAACACCTAATACACCCCTCTAATTAGCGACCAAAGCAAATCATGTTAATTAAAAAGAATGGGATGGATAATGTAGCTCTTTCATCCAGTTATCCTCTCTTTTGCAAGGATAAATGTCTTTTTCAGATCATCTCTGGATTATGCATACAGTAAGTACTGAGAGAGCCTGTGGTAATAGTAAACAGTAAAATCCAATTGGCACAGCACTGCTTGCAGAGAATGCTTTGCTGCTAGAATATCTCCAGTATTTTCATGCTCCACAAATTGCCCGTCTGTCTGCAGGGTGTTTCTTTCCTACAGAACTGACCTTCCTTGCATCTTCCTCCTTTTTTTAAATTCTGATGCCAACATGACATGCCCCCATCTGTCCGTCTGTCTAGCGCTCTGTGACAGACCGAGGGGAGGCCCTGCCCACCGCGTCTCCTCGCAGAGCTGTAAAACGAACTAATCAGGCTCTTTCTCCGTGGTTCATTTTCATTGCTGCCTCTAAGCTGTGACTAATCCCTTCTTCTTATATGAAGAAATTAAGCCATGTTCCAGCTAAGGGAACAAAAGAGCTTTTTTTTCTTTTTTTTCTTTTTTTTTTTAAACCTAGCACAGACCTTAGTAGTGTTGTGACAAACAGCCTGCGGCGAGGCTTGGATGACCCACATATTGCCTGGCAGGGTGTGTGCTGACCTCACACAAGTCCAAAATCTGACCTTAATTTGTGTGCAGATTTCAGTACTTTTCATCTTTAAGGTGAAGCCCGTGAAAGCTACAGATCCCAGGATACAATACTGAGTTGTCACTATCATCTGTCACACACTGCAGATCAGGATCTGGTGCTGGCCCCAAAGTACTCTCATGGGCTTGCTGTAAAAGTCACAACCATGCCCTGATCCTTACCCAGTGGCGCTGGGGTCAAGCCCATACCCAGAGGCTGCTGGGCTGCTGTACTGCAAGGTGGCAGCTGGAGTGGAGATCCTCTCACTTGAACTTGAGAGAAGCCTGGAGAGAAACGGAGAGAAGCCTATGGACATTGGGAACATAAACTGTGACATTATCCAAGCCGGCTGCCAAGGAAAGACCTACCACTGCTGGTAGAAGGGAAGTTTGGGAGGCTGCAGTATTAAGGCCACCAGCTACACAGATTAATTCACCTTCATAACAAGCGCAAGAGGCTCTTTTTTCTCTTTCTCTCTCTCTCAAATTGCCAGATAATCAGGTGCTTCCTGACATCTTCCCTGAGGAAGTAATTTGGGGAAGTCTCACTTTGGGGCCACAGGAAAAGATGAAACGAGATCTTCAGATGRGAACAGACCTTAAGCAAATCACGTAGCCTGAACAGGTGCAAGTCTGGAGAAAAATGACACGCAACACATTGCAGAAGAGAAGGAGATTGGGACATCTTGGCCAAGGTCCAACATAACTAGCCCCGACTTAATCACCCCCAAAGCCGCAGTAGAAACTGAAGGCAAATTTATGGCTACTAAGCTGTCATCAGAAGACTCATGAGTAGCAAGACCTGTTATCTCTGCCTTGGGGGGATGCAGCTGATCTTGCCCGGAGCCAGCTCGAGGCTCTCCAAGGATCTCACAGCTCGTGTTCCTGTGCACAAATGCCCTACCTGCACCACCCACATTCTGCACTGCCTGCTCTACCCACCTGCATTCTTCCCAAGTTCCTCCTGTCGACACTCAAACCAAACCTACACTGGTGCCTCCATTCTGTGCCAGGCTGCACTTGCATAGATTGAAACTGCAATAGAGGTCTGTGGAGAAGCCTGAAGCAGCACTATTCCACACTGGCTGCCTCCTGCCTCTTCCTGCAGCTTTGTTTTGAGACCAGTTCMGTCATTTAACCACTGGCTTTCAGTGATCTTCTCCCTTAGCATCTCTCTACACTTTTAGATCTCTTTTTTTTTCTCTGCAGTTTCTGTAAAGGCCAATTTCTAATGGGATAGGGAGGTAGCCAGGAATGATCTGTTTAACCTCCTTGCACTCTTTTCTCACACCCATGTGGTGGACTATCTCCAGTGTTCAGAGATGGGTGTATCACACAGATCCTGTGCTGGGGACCGTGCTGTTTAAAAGCAGGTCTGTACATCCAAATGACAAATGTGCACCCTGGGAACCTCTACATCTCTCTCTCATCCCTTGGCTCTGCTTCATAGCTCCTGTTCCACAGAAGTTTTGTGCGGATTTCCCTCACCGCCATTGAGACTATCCATTTACCTGGTGCTGTTATAGTTTGAGCTGTCCATGTAGAACGGCACCCTGTGGCTTCTCTGGGGAATGGACATGGTGGTATCTCTGGGAAGGGAGTAGTGGCTAGGAAAGGAAGTGACACAATCTCAAGCAATGAACTTGAGCACACAAAGGATCCTCACAAGCGGTGAGAACTTGGGCTGCATTTCCTCCTGGCTGGCATCAAAATCACCCACACCCCACAGCCATCCATGCACACAGGAGCTCACTGAGCACACGCAGACACAGGGAGATGGTCAGAGARGGGTCAAGATGCTCCAGATACTGAACACTTCTAACAGGACAGTGTTATTTGGGGTAACAAATCTGGACTTCCCTCCTTCTGGACTCCTTACCTTCCAGGAGGGGAGTTAAATTCACAGTGCCCCCTGGCACTTGCACTGTCATATCTGCTGTTGCTTGGGCTGCTTCTCCCATCATAAACTGTCCCTCTGTAATCCGGGGTAGGTCTGGCAAGGAAGCACAAAACCTTGATTACAACACACCAGGAATCACTGAAGTCCCCACACTGGCTTACTAATATTTAGTCTCATCAATCAGTGCCACGTCGTTCCTCCTCTGCTCTGCAGCACTTTGCTGGTCCTGCGGCAGAAGCTCTGAAGCTGGGAAAGGACACTCAAAATCTAATGCTGGAGAATCAAGCCAAAGCAGCCCATGAACGGATGCATCTTGAAAAGGTTTTCCTTTCCAGGTGCTCACTCAAACCACCACTGCAACATCTGCGAGGCTGAACTGCTGAGCAGCTGGCCAGGCTGGGTTCAGAGCTGCACATTTGCACTTCTCCAAGGCAGAACTTGGTMTCTGAATGGCCGAATCTGCAGGCAGAACTCTAGTTCTCTCAATAGCAAAAATGTGCTGTAACAGTCATTCTTTTCTTGCAAGTGCTCAGGGGCACAGATTATGTTTACATTGTATGTTAGGACTTTGATCCTGATTACAGCTTCGGGCAACTGTATAACTTAATATTAAACAATGCTGAAAAATACCAGAAAGCTGCATTAAAGAGAGAAAGAGGGGTCAGCTAAGCTCATCATAAGATGAGAAAAACCCAGCCCTGGGCAAGACACACATTTGGTGCATATAAACCAAAGGGGAGGACCCTTTTAGGTTTTCTTTTCTCTTTTTTTTTGGTCTATAGCACTGCAAAGAGACGTGTCAGCACCACGCAGTGCAGAGCTGGTGATGAGAAGCGATGCAGAACAATAACGGTCTGTCCTGTTTTCTTCTAGTCCTAGTYCACAAACACCCTCAAATGCAAATGAGAACTTTGTTAAATCAAAGAGGGGAAGAGAGGTAAAAGGCCACATTTGGATCACATAAATGTAGGAGTGTGGAGCAGTTACAAGGATGCACCTCTTACAGAGTAGAGGGTCAGGAGAAATAGAAAACATAGACTTCTCCCTAATCACCTTCTCTGCAATTACAGAAGAGAAGCACGTGTATTTTYGTGTATTTTTTACACATCTGTCAGGCCTGCAAGCAGAGCGATTATCAACGCAGTCCTGAACCCTGTGGTCAGCCCTTTGAATCCAAAGAGGATCTCGTTGCRTGTGTTTTGACAGCTGGCCGTCCTGTTGCTTCCCCTGGGAACAAAATCCACAGCCTGTTCTCTCCTTTGTGCAACGATCCTCCAACCTGAGGACCAGAGTTCCTGTCAGACACTTCTGTGCCAGTGGCTTTCACCAGATCTCTGCCCCACTGTCCCCAGAGCCTCACCTTTGAGTGCTGAATACTTGGCTGGCAACGTAGCCTGGCATCCTGTGACTGGGTGGTGACACGCTGCTGTTGTAAGACTGGCTGTCCATGTACTGTGGCATGGGATGTTGGGTCTCATATGCACCCAGGGCACTCTCTCTAGACCTGAAGTTAGACCTGCCAACAAATCAAAGCCAAAATGACCGTAAAGCCAATGAGTGTATGYGCAGTGACTAATATACAAGTATTCAGAAACTGCAGGGGGCTGGATCATGTCTCCAGGCAATTAGGAAAACCTAAAGCAACATGCTATTAATGGGTTCTTAAATTTAGGGGGGATGACCGAGATCTGTATTTTCCCCTCTATACAGTAACTGCATTTCCAACACAACAAATAGCTAATTTGATACCTAATATTAAAGATAAGCAAGTGTATTTGGGGAGAAATCCTAGCCCTGCTATTGTCAATATAAGTTGATTAGTGCACACTGTATGAATTTACATAGATTCAGGAGTTCAATCAGGACTCTGTCAAGAGAAAGGACTTGCAAATGATGAAGACTTCAGAGCTGTTGATGGTGAGAAGCAGGAGACTCAATCCACTGTACCTTGCAGCCGTCGGGATAGGTTCACTGGGTCTGGGGGCTCCTGGGCTCTCATGGTGGCTCTCGCTGGGTGAAGAGGTTTSTTCTTCATAAGCTGGTGTGACCCTGGTCAAGAAGGAAAAAAAATGTTAGAAGCTTTAGCATTTGTATCTGAACCTGCCCCACGCACCGGTAAATCCAGTAACATCACGATTAGGGTGCTTCCTGAAGTCAGATCCCTCTCTTTATACCAGCCAAAAAAGGAGCATTTGTAAGGCCTTCAAAGGAGGAGACACACCATTCCCTGGTGAGTCTCCTATCTCAAAAGAAGAGGATGCCAGATAATCCACAAAGATGTGAAAATAGAGGGAAAATACAGCTCTCTTCAAATAAAACTCAAGGGAAAGAAAAATACAGCTCCTGATGAGCATCAATTACCTGTTTCCTCTTTCCAAATTTGAAATCATTTAACTATAACCACCAGGGTTTATCCAACACCTCTGCCCTATATTTCAAACTTCAAAGAGCATGAGCTGGCCTCATCTGCATACCATCTCTGCACTAGATCTGCATTCCTTGTCTATGGGAATGGGCATGGAATGGGGAAGATATTGATGGATTTTTATCCCCCTTCCTCATTTTGTTGAAGACTGCTAGGGAAAATGGGTGGTTTCCTCTCTGTACCTTTTTTCTTCATCAATCCAAGTTTCATTCACATCCCTGAGAACTGGGAATGATCTGTGCGAGGACATTCTGCTTCCCCTCAGGATGAAGAATCACAATTTGAATTCCCACATCCACAGTCCTCACTAACAGAGTCTGCTGTGCCACTRCTTGCTATGCATCTCTGTGTGCCTGCATGAGGAAAACCCAGCTTGATGATTCCTGACTCCAAACACAGCATCCTCAGTGCCCTTCTCCAGAGCCACGTCCCCTTATCAAGATGAGAGATTCCATCATTTCTCTTGCCTTCTTGAACCACCTTCTTCACTCTGCACATAGGGCAAGATCTCCTTGTTAACGTCCACACTCCTGCTGCCACCATCCTTGGGGTATGTGCTGGACCTGGTGGAGAAGAGCAGTCTAGATTACAAGCTTATTTGGAGCTGAGCTGCTAACTAAAACACATGTGAGGAATCCTAGTTTGGTCAAMAGCCTCAACCCTTCAAATTTAGGGAGAAAAATACAGACAAAAGGAAAGAAATCAGTCCATAAAGTGATTCTTTGTGTTTACTTATCCCTGCACTGCTTTGCAGGAGGCTGAACGCATGCAGGCAGCTACTACAAGCCCCAGGGCATCCAAGTGGGGATAGGAAAATGGTCCGGTGCCCAGGGTGACCAAAGCGCAGCCTGACATATGATGCTGCCAGGGCAGACCTGAAATGAGTCCCAGCACTACCATGGAGGTGTTGCTACATGCCAGAGTGTGTTGCTTATTGGCAAATGAAGGTGTAGGCAGCAACTCTTGGCAATCCAGTTCCAGAGTGTTTGATGTATCCAGCTAATTAGGACTATTTTTTCCAGACTTATATATAAAGCCATGTTAAAAGGCTCACTTAATACAAGTATACTAGTATYAGGCACATGGGGGCAACTTAGGGGAAAGTTTTATTAACAGACTGATATGGGAGAGGACAAGCAAGGAAATAACCCTCATTCTACAGGCAAAGACAGGGCATCTTTTCTGATTCTTTACTTAGCCATGCTCTCTTCAAACTCAGAGTGTTCCTTTGACCTGGAAGACTCTGAGTGGGTGTCATGGTCAGGAGGTTCTTCTCGCTTCTCAGTATGGCTGTTTGAGTCAGAAAACCTAGGAAAAAAAAAAAAAAAAAAAAAGAAAGAAAGAAAGCTAAGGTAAATAGACAGACCTTCATTTCCTAGAAAGAAGCCATGAGGTAGGGAGCAGGAGGCACTGTTTGCAAGGTGTGAGTTACTCCAAACTGCCCTAGTGATTTGGATTCACAGTTCTCACTGCCTCTGATGAGAATTGTGCATATAAATCCCATTCCAGTTTGGAGAACCACATCTAAAAGGTATTTATTTGAGAATGCCACAATATGAAAATGCTAGGTTCAGGACAAAGTGTCAGAATTTACCTTACTAGAATTCCTCAGACAGACAGGTGTTCCTGGCATCTCAGCATACCCTTATACATAATTTTGCAGCATTTATAAATGTCCAGATAGCAYCTGGTGAGATCTCTGAGTAGCAGATACTGAAGTCTGCCACTCTGGTTCCAAGAGAATAATATTGATGCAAAAGGACCCAAGTCACATGCTCTCAGGGCAGAAGTTAACTTTGCATACTGTGTGAGTGTATCTCATCCAACTGGCTCTCCCTCATGGACTGACTGGTCTAACGTGCCGTTATAAAGTCCTSTTTCCTGGGAGCAAAGCAGAGGAGCCCTTCTGTGGTCTCAATTACACTGGGGACAGAGTAAGAGCATATGTGGATATGTTCTCTGCATGAGTCCAATGGATAACTTACCCTCCAGGGTGCAGCTCTGATTTATGTTCTTCTGTGTCCCGTGTGCCCTCACGTTGCTTTTCGCTATGGGCATCCTCCTCTTTGTGACCTTGGGCAGACCTGGCAAAGAAGGAGAAATCTCACTCATGTGATGACTGCCAGCACTGAAAATGAATGGCAGCTTGGTTTGGTGCACACTGGAAGGTAGGAAAGCMACAGGGCTTCAGCAGAGGATACTCCAAAGGCTAAACTGCATTCAACACAATGAAGCACTGACTTCATCAAGGCACTAAGCTCTGCTTAAACGCTTGGATTTTAGCGGACAAGTTAAGCAGTCCCATTTTCACAGGGTGAAACASTGGTCTTTACAATACTAGTCCAAACTGTGTTTACTCTAGGCAAACACACTGYCTTCTAGCATGAACGTAGACCTGCACAATCTCGGATAACATGTGGAGGTCAGATCATATGTGGCCAAATTTATCCCAGTCTTACCTTTCAGAGTAATATTGTGTGTCCTCTAGGTGCACAGAAGCTCTGTCAGTAGGAGGACAGGGGACACTAGACCTGTTGAAGGAAGGAATCAACAGCTTCATGACTTGCCAAAGGTTTTCAAAGTGCTTCAAGAGGGGCCTCAGAGTTCAATGAGTTCAGGGGACTCACTATATGAAATAACAACAATGCATTTTACATGAGAGAGAGTAGTTTTATCAGAAAACCATATAAYAAGCAAGTACTTTTGAGATCAATGCAAAAAAAAAAAAAGGTGGAACTAGCAGGTATCTGCTGTAGCTGCTTTGAAGCTGTTTCTGCAGAATAAAAGCTTCATGAGTGGAAGCGACCAAAAAGAATGCTGATCCCATTCTTTGGCCTCTTTGGATTCTCTGTGTCCCTTCATTTTGGAGCACAATTTCAATTCTGCTTCCGATTCTGTGGTAGATGAACTTTTTATTCTCCTGCCCAACGTGTGCTTGCTAGCAGCACCATGAACACCAGCATGTGTTCACGTCCCTGACCTTGCAGATTCGGACTTTGCATCATCCGGGTACGGAGAGATCTCATATTGACAGTGCAACTTGGCTGTAGCATCTGAAATTTTGTCTCCACAACCACAGCTGGGCCTGCTAAGAGAAGGAAATTCATGGGTAGGAAGTCTGGCAGATTGGAAAATGGAGTAAACGTAACAAAAATCAAACACGAGATTTTCCTGTTTGGAACATTAAGTCTTTTCCTACCTCCTGCTTATCTCAATAACTTTCCTGCAGCAGACTGAAGGGCAGAGAGATCCAAACAACTCATTTCAGTGCAAGGAAAGAAGCTGAAAGATCTCAGCACATTTTGAGCTGGTGCATCAGTTCCCACCTCTTTGCTGGTGCGTGCAAATGTTGCTCCCAGAACACACTTGTTAGGGCAGTACTATGTCAGGAAAGACCCCTCTCACTCTAAAGTTAAGCGAAGTGAGTTTTATGAAGTTAATAAGCGTTACACTTACTTTGGTGAGTAAAATCCATTMTTGGCTTCTGCATTTTCTGGGTAACTGAAAAGAGAGAAAACAACTTCAGAAAGCATCTTTGCTCTGGTGATAGAGAACCATTATGTGGAACTATATAGAGCTATGGAACCCTATTCGTGCATTAAGTCTTCTAAGATGYTCATCAGTGACTTTTATAGGTAAAATAGCAAGACATCTTGGAGAAATTCAGCATCTTTCAAACACAAAGGGGCAGTTAACAACCTTGAACATCATCCACATATGACAGATGCTAATAGCACARAGTCATACAGAAATTCAAGCCAGGACACTACCACATACAGAGGGACATCCTGCAGCCCACAGCTGGAGCACAGGCACCTCCAATTACATACAGAGAAAAACTCTCTGTTTCTCTCTCTCTCTCTTTTTTTTTTTTTTTTTTTTTTTCCTGCCTGTGAACAGTGACAAAACACACAGGTAAAGAGCTCTCACTCAACTATTTTTCTGCATGTCACAGGCTCTTGGGGAAGCACTTTTCCTCCATCACTTCCACTTTCTCAGGCAGGGCACAAGCCTGAAAACGCAGTTTGCAAACTTTTTTTTCTTCTTTTTTTTTTTTTTWTTTACATTTTTGTGCCCAACTACATCCATCATTCATTCCCAAGACCTATCGAGATGTGTGTGTCTCCCTGCCAGTCATGTCTCTCTAGTTTTAAATGGCTTAAATAATAAGGCATCCTCTCATTTCTCTGGGAGACGAACTCACAATTAGGAGTAACCATGTGATCTAAATGACCCTTAACCACCATGAATGCCTTATAATCAGGCCTTCCCCACAATCATATACAAGGATATATTTATCCTTTACATCCTATTTATATTTAGACCTTGGCAAAATGACAACACTCCAGCTTCTCTTTTCTCCAGGGCTCTAGACTTTGCTTCAGTCTAAGAACGTTTCTTCAGCCTTAGGGAATGTTTCTAATGTTTTTATTCACTGACAAGAAATAGAAAGTGTGTCACACTTGACTGTACATGCTAGAGAAATTCACTGGTAAATCCAAGCCTTCTACAGCTTCTTCTACAGTGAGAGGTGAAGACAGATGGACAATCTGGCTTGCTCCATTCTAGACACAGCCAAAAATACTGAGTGATAACACTGAGAAGGAAGAGTCCTGCTAACATGGGATATATTTTACAAATCTGAAACAGACTTCTGTGTACARTCTAGCAGATAGAGACTACAAGACATAAGCACGCAAGTAGGGAGTGATTTCTCTCAGGATGGCTAGAGGAGGCTAAATTCAGATGCATCTGTAAAGCAGAGACAACACTCCCTTGGGTAGAACTAGCTAACTGCTACACTGTTCAGTCACTAAATGAAGTGCCGTTCCACAGAGAGGAACTACCCTCTCCCAAAGGAAATGGGACAGACCAGTGACACCCTACAGAACTCTGTCTTCTGCCCAGCGTGTATGTGAATCTAGACCAGCCAGCAGCACCCAGGCTTGGTRTATGTGTACATTTCCCACACACCAAAAGAGTGCTGGAGAAAGAATCATCTCCAGGAGCAGTGTGGATATGTGGGCTGAATCATATCCCAGAAGTGCCTGTGTAAAGAGTTTCCTTAGGGACGGTGCCAGGGAGGCGAATCCCTGAGGGAGGTGAGGAGCAATAGCAACCTGTCAAGCTGCAGCCTAGCCAGCAGATGATACTCTTGGAGAGGGGCCCAGGACCATGACTGCAGAGATCCCATCTGTTTGAGACCACTAGCAGGTATGTGTCCTTTCTGAGCAAGAAATATGGGGTTATGCTCTATGGTTCAGCAGCACAGATGAGACTTTTTTGATTACCTACCTGTCCCCACGCTGTGACCCACTTTCAGAGGAGAAATTCCCATTAGAGGTATGTCTGTTTTCACCATTTCTACAAGCAAAACAGGAATGATTAGCTAGGAAAGATGTAGGAGAGATGTAGGAATACAATTTGGGACAAAGGAAGTGTAAGGCAAGGTGTTTGTTGAAAGTGTGATATATGCAGTGCAGGGACTGAATTAAAACAAAAGCCTGAAGAGTCTAGGGGTTAGAAAACTGCAGTTTCTGTGCTCAAATTCTGACCAGGAAGAATGTGGTGATGTTTGAGCTGTGGGAGGCCTACAGCTTCCAGCTGGGTGTATTTCCTCCCAGATTGCTAATGCTTTTCTAGAGTGCTGTTTTCTTAGTATCCCCACGCTGTAGTGTTTATTGTTCTGTGACTGCAGTGTCCAGAACAATCCCGCATATCAGGCAAATAAAACAAAGCAGAGCTGAACTTGCCAGTGCAACATCTCTGCTGCTATCATTTGGGGAGCTTTAGTAAGATACAGAGCCAGCAGACCCACCTGATTTCAGTATGAGTGGAGATTTTCTGTGGTGTTTCACTCGAGGATGTGGTTGTTTGGCACCTACTACCCATTTCAGTGCTGCAAGTCAAGCAAAAGGAAAAAAAAGACTGTCATTCCTGAGCGAGCTGGCTTCCCATTGAAGCTGGCCAAAGCACTGAAAATACACTGAAATACATTCACTTGCAATACATTCACTTTCAAAGTAATCTTTATTGTAAGCATTTTTTTAAATTTAAAACACTGATATTACCATCCTCTGTCAGTAAGATGCAGAGAGGAAAAACAACAACATAAAATCAGTGACTAAGGCACCATTTTCAGTGACGCAGAAAAAAAAAATCAACATTTTTATATCATAGTCAGGAATTCAGACAAACAAAAAAAGCCGTAAAAAATTGAAAACTTGAAAATAATTCTACCCTACAAAACYGTCAAGAAAGAATTTAGCGGTTTGAGGTTTCCCTCCTGCCTAGAAATTCCTATCTGGTTTTGACCACTTCTATTAGGCTATTGTTGGATCATTGCAGGATCCCATTGCATGACTCCAGACGTGAGACCATTTAAAAATGTTTGCCTGTGTCTCAGAAGTGTTGTACATACGAGGCTGACAACTTGCTGCACTTTACCTTCCAAGGCAGCGCTCACAGAAGTCTCCTCGGCATGGATCAGCATGGGCTGATAGAGCAGAAAAGAAGCCCCAGATACTCAAACACCTACCTGGTGGGAGACKTTGCTGTTGTCCTTTGCTCATTCTAGGAAGATGCAACTGTGTTTCTTCCCTTAACACTAACAAAACTGCCCCAAAGTAACAAAGCATGAAAGACAGAAGGTATTTTTGTTGTGTCCTCTGGTGAGGACCCACCACAGCTCTGGTGTCTGCCTCCTGGCCAGACCCTGCTGCCTAAGGATCCACACCAGCAGCTGCTCCTGTGCAGAGCTGCACAGACATGACAAGTGTCTGCCTTTCTGCTGAGATGATTCATCAACAGAAACCGTCTTTTCCTATTTAACACAGCTGTGGTTGATCCCCTCCCCAGCATTTGTGTTTGCACTAAAGACAGCTTAGCTTCCCCAAACGTACAGATTAAATTTCAGTCTATTCACAAAATTGTTTTCAGTATGTTCATATGTGTAATGTGGGAGGGAGGAAGGGAGGGGAAACTGCTTCCCTGCCGTGCCTCAGACCTGTGTCACAACGGCACAAAATTGCAATGGGAATTCATGCAGCAGCGCCTTCATCCTGAAAACAAAGCATGCCGAGCTGAAAGGCCTCATCTACCGGCCTCCCTGCTGGGCCACTAAGGACCCGTGTGGCAGAGAAGCCAATAGTGCTGCTGCCTGGCACCGAGCCACCGCTCTGAGTGGGAAGAGAGAGCTGAATCCCGAATTAAATGAATCCGCTTGAAAACTGAGCAGGATTCTCCCTCCTATGTAAAATATTGCCACCTCCACATCAGTCTCACTCTGCCCCACATCACAAGGCAGAGGCTCCCGACCAGCCTGGATTAGGAGAGGATGTCACTGCTTCTCCCTTATGCCACACACAGTCTGTCCCCAGCTCTCACATGCCACAGCTCTGTATAGGTCTGCACCCATGGGCTTACAAGCAGCCTTTGGAATGGCTTGGTGGATTGAAGAGAGGCTAATGCTCACTGCCAAAGCAAAGATCAATTTGAAGATAATGAACCTCTCGGTCACACCTATCTGTTGCTATCATGGCAGAATAATTAAATCTTAAGTCTAACAAAAGCTGTGAGCTGGCACAGGGGCCTGGAAATTGTGAGATATAGAGTCTTTCGTGCCCAGGTGATGGGGTCAGTTTGTGCRGCCAAGGTTGTTAGTAAAAGAAAATCCTCCCCATCTGATGGCTTCTTGCTGGGGATGTGAGCTCATCAGAACCTGCCCTGACTCCTGCTGTGGGCTGGTTCTACAGGACTGGTGCCAGGCTCATTCCTGTGGCATATGAGCACCATGTGAACACAGGATTGATTTGGGCTGGGGAGTGTGAGCACCCCTAAGCCTTCAGATCAAGAGAGGGGCTCTGTGGCAGGTTTACACCACAGCATTAAGCCAGAGCTGGCCTGTAGTTAAATGCAGGCTGTCACTCTCCAAGGCTGTCATTTAGGTACCTTCAGATCCCCTGGCCTTATCATCAGATCTCCCCATTTGTTTACCTGAGTTAATTCACCTCGAGTTTCATTTTGGATCCTTCCCATTCTGCAAGGCAGAGGCAAAGAGAGTCTCAAGAGAAGTCTCTTTTCAAAAACCTTGAGAAACCTCAGTCCCCAGCTGTGTTCAACTGGCAGCCTTGCAGTCAAACGCAATAGATGTAAAGATGGCAAGTCAGTGGGCCCTAATATCAGAGATGGCCAGCACATTACTCCAGGAAGAGGCCAATACCTGTTGCCATCTGGTGTAAACTTGAGTGAATCAGACACAGTCGAACTCCTCCTCTGCTGTCCTTCTTCTTCTTCTATCTCAATTCTTTCAGAAAGCAAACAGATAGAAAAATATCACATGGCTTCCTATTTCTCATTGCCAACTAATCCAAGTAGTTTATTTTTGCTTTCCCTTAAGCTATGCGCTTCCTCTGTTTCACTTGGGGATTTTTTTTCCTATTCCTTGTGCTCCACATACTCTTTAAGTGGTAAGCATCTCAACTGGCTGAATTGAGACCTTCAGCCCAAGTCAGTGACCGTTTTCTGTCTGCCACAGTCACTTTACAAACGGCATCAGCTGATGCTTAAGTTTCAGAGAATGCCCTGGGCATCATTTCCCTACGGTACTGACTGAATTTAAATGCCTGAAGAATATTGGCACTGCAAGGTGCACTTCCTCCTCCCCTGGAAGAAGAAAGGCAGTGAATGAGCCCAGGCAATCACTCCTTGCTTTAGGTTGGCAATAACCCAAAGTAATATCAATGTTCTAGTCTCAGTATTCATGACATTKTGGACTCTCAAAGGCCAGCATTATTTGTCCCAAAGCATCTCATTTTTCAGCTAACCATCCCTCCTCCATTTTGAAATACCAGGGGACTTCCTATCCCAGGATTTCACAGTATCTGTCCTCATATCCCTGTACACAGACACACAGCCCCAGCAGCATTTCCAGAGCTGGATCAGCGACCTACCTCTTGGCGAACAGGGGTGGGAATTCTTGTGTTGGGCTGCTGCAAAGGAAGCACAAGATAACAGTTGGARAAAACTTTGGAGGCAAAGTCGGACCTTGGGCAGAGGCAACTCCTGCCTGGCTATACTGTAGAGTATTAGGGATCACATGGTGCCATTGGAGCAACACGGACTGTGACCAGGTGCATTACAGCTGTGCAAATCATACTGCAGATAAGCTAAGCATAGGAAGAGCAGCAAGTTACAATGCTAAGTAAAGAAGTTTCCCCCAAAGGCTTTTTTGATTTACACCTTCCCAATGGTTGTTCTTCTCCATGCACACACATACACCTCCCTACTCAGCCCAGCATCTTCCATGCATCAGAGAAACTAGTAGCCAGTGCAACCTCCCTTCTCAGTGTCCCCATGAATTCTACCCAAGAACTTCTTTCATTCTGGACTCTCTTGATTGTTGCAGCCATCTCCCTTCCCTGCTTCCCCCTGCACTAGTAACCTCCTGGTGCCTGTTTGTGTCAGGAGAAAAAGGATTCACACTGAAAGGAAGCCACAGAAAGCTCATCATAACAGTTCCTGGGAGAGCAAAAGTCTTGGAAATTTGCATTTCTCCTCCCAGGAAAGAGATGGGCAATAGAGCCTCAGACACCAGGAGATCCCCCACACACTTCTACACTTTCCTCTTAGGGTTTTTTACAGAATTACTTTGGAGATTTAACTAAAATCAGGATCTTGTCATTCTAGGCATTACTCAAACACAGCATAAAGATAGACTCTGTCCCAAAAGGTTGATTCAAACTGGGTGCAGTTTCTTACAGCAGTCCATTTTTTTATGGATTTCCCTTTCCATCCCACTGCTTCCTGCAATGAAACTGGAGAGAGGGGAGGAATACTATGAATTGAGTCTGAAAAATCGGGTCTTAGTTATTGGTCCTACAGAATAGGGGAAAATTACAATTTTTTTCTCTTCCTGCYGCGTCACCCCTCTCTGTAGGAGACACTTCGCAAGATTTGTTTTATTCTGCAGAAACCTGGGAATCTCCTTGGTACTTCTAGATAGCTGGCAGCTAAATCTTCTCCACTCAGTGGAGAGATGCACATTGCCTTCAGTGAGTCTTTGGATCAGGTCACCATCCTTGTGAGTCCATGCTCAGCAGCCTCTTGTCTGCCAAAGAAAGGGGCACCATGAAGACTCACCCGTTGCTTTTCTTGGCTGCTGAGAGGACGTAAGCCCGTTCCCGGCTCGCAGTGCGCCGCAGGACACTGTTGGCTGCCTCTGTCCTGCAAGGGAAGGGAGGAGTCACATTCTGCTCATGCTAATAGTAGCTGCTGAGTGTGCACCTGAAGAGACTACAGGTGAACAACCCAGGGGAGACCTGGGCTGACCTTGACAGAGTTCCCATGCTCTGGAAAGATTATGAAATCCAGCCAAGGGCTAGGATGAGTAACAACATCTTATCTTTTTCCCCTAACATAGATCGTGCTCTTCTCAGCCACAATTCTCTCTCACAGGTGTAAAGTGTTAAAGTCTTTCCTCTTTCAGTAGCACAGAGAGAGTTTCCCTTCTCAAGGCCTGGATGACTCAGATGCTGTCACATGGGAAATACACATAGTGCTCGTAATGTGAGAATGAGAGACCAGTCTAAATTCAGATTTAGATGAAGGTCCAGACTCAAAAGTGCATGTGTAAACTGTGGGAGCTGGACTCCTCCACTTAATGCTTGACTATCTGCATGCTTCTATCTTTTCACATAGACAGGATATACTTGATGGATTCCACAACCCAGCCTCAGCTGCCAAATTAATTGGGCTAGGCTGTCAGGTTGAATCACGTCAGGCTTTTAATTATATTTTGTTGGGAGCACAGCCGCCTGTGGGCATGGATGCACTCTCTGTAGAAATGCCTGTTTATTATTATTATATTGCAATCAGCCCTAATGGGTCAGCTGTAAACGTCATCAAGTTGACCCTCCCAGTAATCAACAGTTAAACTGAACTAAGTCCACTTGCCACTGTTCCTGCAGGAAAACAGTAGTCCCCTTCAGGACATACCTCTTTTTATGTTCATCTGGAGTAAAAGGGACATCCTCCTCATCCAAGTCCACTGACCTTTGCTTGATATTATATGGAGCTCTGAAAGGGAAGGGAAGAACCAGAATAAGGGAACTGTCTCTACAGATTGCTCAAGAGGCAGCAGAAACACAACTCTAAATAATCCAAGGGCAGGCCGTGGAGAAATGGGTTCAGGCACTAGACGTGTTGCACAGGAGTGGGAAAGACACTTGTATTTTTCATGTGCTTTGGGGTACACATGTCCTCAAAGGATTTTGTTTTCTTAGTGCAAGAATTAAGCCTAGAAGGAGGTTGATGTTAAATGCTCAGCTGCACTTCAATGGTGCAAGCAGTCTTTGACATGAAAAGCAGCGTATAAAATGTCAGGAGGTCTTTACTTTCTCTTGGATTCAACAAGTCCAGTAATGCTGCAACCAACCCCCTAGGCTGTGTCCTCTGGTTTCTACCTTAGTTAAGATCAAGTAGTAAAATTTGGTCCACACAAAGGCCACTACCAGGCCAAGGAACGCCTGATGGCCCAGTCAGGCCTGGAGGTAGCACCAGGAAAGGATTCACTTTTAAGTGCAAGCTCTACAATGTTTGGCTCATCAGCCTGGTTAGGCATCCATAGGCAGCTGCTTCATCTCTGAGGCTCTAGAGCTGCTGATCTCCTGCAGCAGCTGCTCAGTGCACGGACAGAAAATACCAGAAAATACTCACAGTTTCTTGTAATCCTCCGTTGTCATCCTGTAGCCAGAGGAAGAACGGCCTTGGCTGGATCCCTTCACTGCAGTGCTGCACGTGAACAGCACATCCGTTAACACGACCTTCCTAAGCTCTTACCCTCTGCTACCCTTTCCCATAGGCAGACTCATGCTTTATAAGACAGGGAAACACACAACGATCACAAAGACTCAATCTCTGTATTCAGAGAATGCCATTTAATGAAAGGGSAACATCTGTCTTCCTTCCACAGTCTTTGATTAGCATTTGAGGTCTACTTTGTTTCCCAGGGCCACTGAGAGGTATCAGAGCCAGCATATGCATACCCTTCTATGAGACAGTGCTACTTTGACACAGGATCAGCCCTCCCCAGGGAAGAAGACACCCTGTGGCATCATGCTGCTCTCCAGTTGAATTAAAACAGGAAGAAACACAGCGTTTYCAAAAGTTGAACTTGAACTGCAACAATGCATCTGCTGAGAGCACAGCTGTGCTTAGATCTCATTTTCTACCATTAAAGGCAAGTGCTTCTCATTACAAGGTGGGTTTCAAAATAACTGACATTAGAAACATCAAAATGAAGCACTCCAGTCTTGCAAATATTCTTTTGGAGTTGTCCCCCATTGAGAACTACTTTCCAAACTAAACCTAAATCTCAGAGTAATTTTATAGTCAACTGTCCTCCATGCTTTGGTGGAGGAAGTAGAGAGTTTGATGCTGTATCTCTTTCATGTGTGATCTTAGTGGAGCTGGTCATTTAATAGCCCCATTCTCCAGGGTTTAGTAGGGTTTTAGAGGAGTTCAGTGGTATCCACAAGTTCTGGCCAAGGTGAAAAAGATATACCGTATTTGAAAGCTCAGTTTTATGAAAACATACAAACCTTTTCTGTGCTTCTTTGGAAGATGCAGAATCTGGGGGTGAAGGAGTCTTATCAATGGTCCTTGTGAAAACTCCCCTGGAAAGAAAAGAGACACGCTAACTGTGTTGTAGGGGAGTTTGGAACCACAACTAAGACAGACAAGACATGCAGCCATCCTTTGGCCAAAGAGCATGTGTGCCCTGCTGGGAGCAAGCTGCTCAGGACACGAAGAATTATCATGAGCTTCCTTCCTGAGAATTATTATGAGCTTCCATCCTGAGAAAAATCTCTGCTTCCCTACTCCTAGCCCCTTAACAACACTATAAAATCCGCTCCCAAGCAGGTTTGCATCTCTCATCACAGGACTTGCCAACCCCCTTGGAATCAGGGAGGCATCAGATTTTCTGTGGGCAATTACTAACATGTTAGAGGAAGCTGAACCACCCAAGCCCCATCACCAGTGCAGTGGTAATCAAAAGAATTGCACTTATCCTATGYGTGGTAATTGTATTATTCAGAGATCTCATTTTCTGTTAACATCATCAGCAAAGTAGCTGAAATACATGAAACTCAAAAATATTTTTTCACCAAACAACTCCTTGAGTATCACCATACTTCTGGCTAAGAGAAAGCAATAGAAAGCAATATTCCTCATATTTATTGCTCCTGACCCAGCATCCTTCTCCTGTAGTCCAAGTGCTTCTTGCCATTCCATATACCAACCTGATGAGGTAACCGGACTGAGGCTTGGCAGCAGGAGACCTGTGCAAGGAATAGATACCAGTGAATTTTGAACACACAGGAAAAAAATAACCACAGCAGCAACACCCGTGCTAGAAGGAAATGTCCACAGGACACATGCCTACCAGATAAACCTTGGGTGATAACCCAGACCCTTCAAGAAACTTGACCTCAGGGATGAGATTGTCTAACTGGGCACCCAGTTAGCCCTGCACGGGTTCTATTTTCTGCACCCTTTTATTTTCTAGCTGTCTGGTTGCCCTTATCATAGGATATCTSAGGCTTAAAGGAAGTTTAGGAAATACCTGGCCTAACCTCCTGCTCAAAGCAGGGCCAGTCACGGTGCCAGACTTTAGGAGGCGGGTAGGACTGCATTGCTGACACTGTGTATCTGAGGTGATTGTCAAGCTCGGATTTATCTTTCCCCCATTGCAGAAACAGAAATGCAAACTCACTGCCAGCATAGCCTAGCTCTGGAGGTCTCTGAATGGGAAGAGCTGGAGCACAAGGAGTGCTGGGCATTATCCCAGGCTCTTGCTCCTGCAGTGGCCTCTGAGCAGGCACCAGCAGGATGCAGCCAACTGCAGCCCCACTCGCTGGCAGTTCCCTGAGCACTGTAATTTGGATGAGAGCTGCAGGGAGGMTGAGCAGTTACCCAGCTTTGCATACTRATGTTTGTGCTCACTTCGTAGCATGGACACATCCAGAGTATCCTGGACTCCCTTGTCATTTGTTGATRCTGAYTTCTGTCCCTCARACATTTGTGTGAGGGGAAGAGGCCYCTCAAATGTCACACTTCCCACGTCACTAATGTCTCTGTTGGTGTTTATACTGTGACCAATAAGCACAATACTGCAGAGGGAGGCAGAAAGGGCAGGGCTTGCCAGGGAAACTGTCCTAATTGCAACAAGAAATGGCAAGAGCTGGCACGGTGAAAGGGAGAGTAAGCAGGAAACTGCTCGGGGAGACGGCAAAGCCTTCCCAGCAACGACATGGCAGCCAGCAAGGAGCTCACACACAGGCCTAAGTCCTTCCCAATGATTTTACTCAGGTCCTGCAAGCTCTTGGATCTCTGAGGGACTATTTCCCTCTGCRCCTGAAGCATCACTGGACTCCCATACAAGGTTTCTCTTGCTGTGAGCAGTCCCCTGGACATATYGTATCAGTACAGGAGGCAATGTACAGTGGTGATTTCATGGAATCACAGCCTTGATAGCATCCATTCATCTGCATTAAAGACATCCTTCCACCCATTCCTTCATCTCTCTATCTATGTCTCCATCCATCCATCCACCCAGAATTTGTAGGAGGTGAGCCATGCTTGGTATGAGGTGAGAATTTATAAGACATTGTATTGAGCAAAGCAGGCTTTCCTTGGGGACTGTGTTTTTCAACACAATCACAGCAGCGAGAGGGTATTAGGAAGTGAAAAAATACCCTATGCTTGGGAAGAAAAAGTTAAAACATCACAGATCCCATGAGGTAATGCAGAAGGGAAGTGACAGGAAAAGTCCCCCAAATTACCTGTCATTCTGGGGTGGARTAGGTGCTGAGACTGAAGATCCCCCATCAGCCCGTCCAGACCTGAGTAAATAGGAAACAAAACCACATAATCAACTTTTGATCTTTAGATTTGCCAAATATGGCAGCAATGTGGTTTTTTTTGGATAGACTTTCTAGGAGAAGAGCAATTTGGACCTTCCTTGGTGCAGGGGTAGCTGCATGCCAYACCCCTGTGAACTGCAGGGGGAGATGCAGACAAGGCTGGATTRGAAAGTCCCTCCTATCAAAGGAAATTCTGCCTGCCATCACCCCCACCAGCGCCTTTTTGTTTTTTTGGTCACTCCAGAGATGGTGAAACAGAATCTGACTTCATGTAACTCAGAAGTTCTCCTGAGACCTCAGATCTGCCTGTGCTGTTGGATTTGCAGCGCTCGGAAAAGGCCATATCTTAGTGTTTCAGCGCATATTTATCAAAAATRAACAGGAACACTGTGTCCCTTCAGCACTGTCGTTTCCCATCATCATGGGGACTCCAAATCATGACAGCCCCACTGACTGAAGACYAGAGTGCCCATGAGAGGCAGATGAGGGAAGAGGAAGGGCAAGGAAGAGCATTTCTTGGTGGCCATACTTACCGTGGGCTGCTCTTCTTCTCCTCTTCAGAATCTGAGTTCTGGTGATGGATCCAGCTCTGATCTCCTTTCAGAGTGGTACGAACTTTCATCTGCCTTATGATCCTCCTGCGGTCCTCATCTGTAGGTGGGATCACTCGTCCTARGAGAGGCAAAGGAGAGGAAGGAGATGAGAGAGAAGAAGAGGTCACTAAGACAGGGCAAGAAGTCACAGTGCTGCAGGGAAGCTAAGGGCAAATCTGAGACAGCAGGGAGCACAGATTTCCTTTCAGTTGCAGAGATTAAAGCACTGCACAAATGTTGTGCTACTTCTGATGGAAGACAGAAACAAGTTCTCACCTACACTTCATGATCAATTTACCCTTGCTTCCTTGATGCATCACCTCTTCTTCAGAGATCTGTACAACTGCAGGATTTTTTCCCCTTTCAGAGGACTATTTAATATTAATGGCTTTATTTCTTTCAAGAAGACCAGCGACATAGTAGTGGGTGGTCTAATCACACTTTTAAAGCAGCATGTTTCTTCTGACATTTCCCATCAGATCAGCTTTCTGGTTTGCTGGTCTCTCCTTGAGGCTGGCTATGTCAAACAGTCACTCAGCCCTCATTCTTGTTCTCTTCCATGGACCTGCTCAGACATAACTACATTCTCTGTTTGAAACAAAGTCAGCAATGGCAATTAAAATACAAATTTTATAGATTAGGAGATGCTACATCCTCTCTCAACAGTAAAAAGATCAGGAGAAAAAAAAGCAGCATAGGTTTATAGGGAAGAGAATTGGGGCCAAAAACGATTATAGGAGTAAGAAGGGAAGGTGAYAGGCGGGTGAGAAAGTTGTATCCTACTGAGGTCCTACTGTATGACATGGGTTTGACCAAACTGAGTGCAACTGGATAGAAYAAGCATTTTAAGTAAGAAATTCCCCTTCCAACTTTTTTTCTTTTGGAARATAGCTATTTTCCCATGAGAAAATCAAGACAAAGATCAGATGAGGAAATCCCCTTCTCCATGTGTTTCTAACTATCTTCTATCTCTTACCATGTTGAGAACAACTACTAAAGGCTGAAAACATTAGGCTTTTGATAACGAGAATATTAAGATTGCATTATTAATAAAACATTTTTCCAATGCCATGCGAAGGTAACATGGTGCACAAGGATGGTCTCCACTGCACAGACCTTATATTTTACTTGTAGAAGAGATGGGAATATGATATACACAGACAGGATATGGAGAAGTTATCCTGGTCAGTCACTTCAGTGGCACCTAACMGCAGCTGTATTTTCAGCTGACATTTCAGAGGAGAAAGACTTTAAGGGGGGCATTGAAAAAAGRATATGGCAGTATGTTACTTCAAACTCCTTTCCAAACCTCAGCCAGGCTGTAAGCCCTCTAGTTCTTTGTATCTTTGCGGATACTGAAATTCTAGCCAAATGTACATAATTCTGGAGCTGTCCCTTGAGTAGGTTCTGACAAGGAAGAGGTGTCCTTATCCCTTGAACATGCTGCACTGGAGGAGCTGAGAGGACGTAGCTGATAAAACTGAGCAAGGAAGACAAGGCAAAGCCTACGTAAGAGCAAGAATGCCCAGTACATAGGAGTGGGGAACAGGATTACCTTTGCTGACACCCAGGGACATCATGGCTCTTGGAATGGACTTCTCCTTCAGCTCCTTTTAGAAGAAAATAGGCCCTTGGAGAAAACGGAAAGGGAAGAGATCAGTAGTTTTGATATAAACATCTTTGAGAGATGGGAACATCACGACAATGTTACAGCCACAGAACCTGGAGGAAGGGGCAACTGGCAGAGACACAGGGAGGTACCATTTCTCCCCTAGCATGTACTTTCTGGGCTTGTTGTTGTTGTGTCAGTGCTAACAGACAGGTGAAATCACAGGAACATGTTCATATGTGCAAATCCAGGCAGGTCATGGCAGAWGTTTCTTTCCAGGTCTGGAGGGAAGCAAGGAAGCTGCACCTTAGCAACCAGACCGACAGCACGATTCCTACTGCAGTCTATAGAACAGCCGAGGCTGCACCGGTGTTGTCCCACACTATCTTTCATCCTCTGCTCGTCTCTGAAWAGGTGCTCGCAGCTCACACAGCCACTACGTTTTGTGCCTCAGCTCCTCTCCAGGGTTCCCAAGGTAGGACTGAACAGGATAAAAATCACTCCTTGAAACGAACGGCTAAGCAGCAAAGAGAAACYCTTAGATGTGCAACAAGGAAATGCTTTGAAATTAGGAGGTGGCAAAGCACTGATCCTTTAAGTGCAGTAGTTGAACAGAAAACAACCAGAAAGTAAAAAGCAGGAAAAAAAAAAAAAGGATTGCCGAAAAAAATCTGATTGCTAAATACATACAATTTGATGGGAAAAAAAAATTAAACATACATTTTTCCCTTCAAAATATTTATCTGGAAAGTTTTCCTTCAAAATCCAATGGGAGCCCCTTGGAGCCCATTGCACCCACTCAGTGCCTGCACAGAGCCATGCCCTTGCTGTGACCTGGCAGCCTTGGTGCCCTCCGCATGCAAAGGAGCAATAATCCCCCTTGCTCCCGGCTCCGAGCCGTTGCTGCAGGCCCTGCTGCACGGTTAAGCAGYACCTGGTTTAGGTCAAGCTGGCCACGCTCAAACAGACCAAGTCTTTCACGCGCTCCCCGGACAACCTTGCAGAGTTCTCTCAGGCTTGGGTTTGCAAAGTGCTGCAGGATCCTGAAATAAATGCCAGGGGGCCTTGGAAAGGCCGCTCCTGAGATGAGATCCCCTTTGCAATAGCTCATGGAAGAACGAGTTGCATTCAGCAAGCTTCCCCTGTGGAGCAGACTTGGTTCCTTTAACCAGACAGCGAGGGGACATGAAAGCTCACTCTTGGACAAGGTATCTAAAAAGAAGCACGGGCAACTGCTCTGCTAATCTGCCATTAGTTACAGGTGTTCACATTAACAACCCGGGGATGCTTCCTTAGCAGTGGGCAATGCTGAAAGACCCACGAGGATAAATTCATTCCTTCTGTCACAAATCCCAGGAAGAAATCAAACCTTGACTGGGAATAAGCAGGGCTAGTTGCGTGGGCAGAGGCAAATACCTGTTAACACACGTTTCAAGGTGGACTGTGGTTTAAAATTAAACCTCGTGACCTGCCTGGTAGCAAGGTCTTCTCATGTTGCAGCTGTAGAAACAACCTGGAGGTTTGAACACGGTCCAGGCAGCAAGGCCAGGTGCCCCAMGTCCCAACTCCTGTGTCCTGTGACAATATCCCTGCTCTCATCCAACCAGTTCTCAAATTCAATGCACCTTCGCCAAAGACCTGAGAAAAAGTCTTTGACATGAACTTGTGAGTATTATTTGCTAGAGAAACATCAAACAAGCAGCAGGGAAAGTCCCAAGGTGACCTTGGTGTCTAGACCTGCCTGATGGAAAGACTCCTTCCTCAGCAGGGCTTGCTGGGCATCACTACAGCCAATACCTAATAGCACAATGCTAGAGGAGTGGGAGATTTGGGGCTTATGGGGTTATTCTCTTCTCATTCAACCATGAGGAACAGGCAAAAGATGAAGATCTTGCTAGTCCCTGATCATTTCCAATGCAGAAAATAAAGGCCATGCTGGTTTAAGATGAGAATGCAGCTTGCAGCAAATGGAAAAATTCAGAACAGATCATTACCAGCTGGCCAAAAGATTTAGTTGCATTCAAGCTGCTATACATATTTTAAACAAACAAAAAGCCTCACATTATTTCCAGACAAAATGAAAAGAGTTGATTAGAAAAGGTTAGTCATTGTTTCAGGTTTTAACTCTTTTTTTTTTCCTCCCGTGGGAACAAAAGCCTGATTAAACCTGGATGTACTTTTGAAAGGGCTCAGTGTTGCTAATTTTACAGAAAGAGAAACTGTCCAGGTCTAACCACGGAGCTGTATCAGGTTCGTCCCCACCAGTCCAAGCTTTTATAGCAAAGCAGCTGCCAGCTGCAGCTTCCTCCGAGCACTCCAGCAGTCTCYTCCAGCCCAGTCCTAGCTAGGAAAAATAACTGGAGAATCTGAGAAGCAGATCCCATTAAAAATTGTCAGGTGCTCTGCCCACGGCCTGAATCTCAATTTTGGGTTTCCATCTTTTCATCTGATCTGAAGAACAGTCCTTCAGCCCAGCTGGCCTCAGCATTACTTCTCCATGGRTCCGTTGTGTTATTTTCCTCCCAGGTTCAGGTTGGGAGCTGGGTGTTTTGTAAAAATCCTCACTGGTGGCTGGCCTGCGCTCGCGTTGGAGCTTGGGTATTTTGTATCCATCAAGGGGATAGAAATAGAAAAATAGAAAACTCTGCTCTTCAGAGCCTTCCACCTCATGCTCTGCGCATGCAGCCGGCTCCTCTGCTCCCCACGAAGCCTTGCTGTGCTGCTCAGCCATGACACTGCTGTCATCCCCATCATCTGTGACCTCCCTGCTTCCAAGTCTCCTTCCCCGCRGGATCTGTGGCCTCTCAGGATGCGGTGACGCTGTGCTGAGGCCCTGACCTCACCGATATGAAGATGTGTTTCCAGTGTGGAGCCCAGCAAAGCGAAACATGACCGTGTCTGGCATCAGCTCCACAAGCCCACACAGGGAAGAAGTCACGTAGTCACACATAAATTCCCAGCCACCTTGTGCCGGACTTTTTGAAATCCGGCTCTTCTCCATAGGCTCTCACAAGCTCTTCATTATTCAGAATCCGAGCATCTTTCAGGCAGTGAAACCCCAATTGTCTCTCCCCTCCCTACAAGGGCAGGTCTCAGGTACACGCAGAAGTTGCTTAGCCCTTGCTGGGTAAAACAGGCAAGTGACAGCTAGATCCTGCTTCTGCCACTTCACACTGTGCTTTGCAGTCCAACTCAACCTTACGTTTCTAGGAGGAAAACAAGAAACAACTGCTTTTCCTTCTGGTGCACCTAAAGCCCACCAGACCATGTCTGGAGGTTGCAGGCTACAAGTGGACCTTGCAGCTCAATCCACATTAACTATGTTTGTAGGAGACCTAATTTTCAAAGCACCACCAAGGCTYTTGACAGGGATAGTCCTTCATGTCAGCTGAGGACAAGTCCACCTCCAGGAAGCCCGTGGGCAGCTCCGCTAGGAAGCAGGGTGGGCAGAGAGGTCTCACCATGGAGCCGCTCTGCCAAGTCCCAGCAGGAAGGGAGCAGCCAGCACAACGCCCCGCGCSGAAGATCCTTGTCACGTGGATGAAAGCAGTTACGAGCTACTTAATAAGGAAAGGAGAGCTCGAATCTTGTTTAGATTCTAATTGCTGGGGTGCGTCTGTCTGCGGGCAGGCTGCCAGGCCAGCTCTCCCTCTGCACGCTACYGGGTGACGCCGTGGTCCCTGTCCCAGCACGGGGGTCCCAGGTGAAAGCCTCACCCCGCCAGGCAAGCGGGTGGCTGTGTTATAGGAAAGGAGCCCAATTGTTTAGCCGCCACCCAGCACCTGCAACGCTGGCGAGGGACGGCTGGGGCACCGCAGACTCCTGCCCCCTTAGAGGCGGATGGTGCCCCCAGGCGCTGCAGCTCAGGGAGGGAGAAGGCKCCGCATCCTCACCCAGAACGCATTCCTCTCCGGGAAGGAAGCGACAGGCAGCCAGTTCAACACTCTCCAAGAGACAGAAATCAGTAGCACAGCACTTAATTGGGAAGGATTCTGCTTTCCACATAAAGCCACTTAAAAAGATGTAATTACAGCCCCGGAGATGAAACACTTGCTGCTCTCTAAAAGCTGACGGCAGCTCCTATTACCTGTGAGCAGGCAGAAGAAAAGGCTGSCAGCCACCCCCTTCTCACTGGCTTCCCTGCAATTTTAACATGTCAATCACAGCTTTCTGCCTACTTTTGTCAGGAGTTTGCAGGGCACTTGTGGTAAGAGCCYTTTTGTGCCTAATAGCCACCTTACCCTCCTTTTGCTTTGGTAATGAGCTAGTGCCCCATGGACCCAGTTCTGGGAGCTGAAGGAGTGCCCTGGGAAAGGAAGCAGAGCTGCTTTCATCATTTACTTACAGCCTTCCTGGGGAGGGCCACAGGGTGCCTTGAACTGGCGAACCACCTGTATGATCCTGGGTCCAGACCAGCCGCCGAGTTCACGGCTCCTGTTCTCCAGGCTTTACTCCAATGCTCCGGACAGCACCTCCCTTGGATCCAAGATAGGGAACTCAAAGATGGAGCAACGYAGTCCTCTGCTCAGGCAAGAGGCTTCAAACACATCTTCCTTCTTGTTCCTAGGGACGGGAAGATTTAGGCAACAGTCTGAAGGTTGGCCCTCTGCTGCAAACCAGGACAGACCATGACGAAAAGCTTTGTGGTTTGATGGTTGATGCATCTTCTACCCATTTGAGTCCCCAAATTAAGAAGTATTGAAAGGGTATGAACAGGAGCTTCTTCATTTCAGCCTCCTTAAAACTAGGTCTGTTGGCCAGACCTAAACCAGGGGCTGTGTCTCTCYTCTCTAGCCTATATGGTGAAAGGTTGAACCTTGGATTAACATTCAGTAGCTCAAGCTCAGCTGTTGCAAACCCATGGAAGACAGCCAAGGACAAAGCTTCTCCATGTAGGGCACACGCAGCCACTACTTTCTGCCCCAGAAAGGTAGTACTGCTAACCCAAGTTTTGGGATCATGAAATCTGTG